GTAACTTGGTTAGATGGAATTCGATATGTAGATTTATATAAAAATGAAGATGAAAAAATATATATACAGTCTCGTATACCATCATATAAGGTGGATCTTAAACCATTAACTAGTTCACAAAATTTATTAGATATGCTAAAAGAAGTAAGTTAAAATATTATAACGTACTTGTGTATATTGCCTTATGCTACTTTATTTATTTACTTATTAATAGATTATGTAAATTTAAAGAATAGTGAATATAAAGTATATGGATTAGCTCAAAAAACTGCAACAAATGAGTATATGTTAATATTTGATGAATTTGGTTCTAAAAGAAAGGATTGGAATGGGAAATGTGCAAATTGCAGCCGATATAATACATCAAGAGCTTGGTGTCAAATCTGTGATCTTCTAAAAGCAACACAAGGATGGACAAGTGGAAATAAGGAAGTTGATGAATGTATTAAAGAATTACAACTTAAAGCTACAAAATACGAATATGTAATCGAATGGATTCCTTTTAATAGATTAGCTAATATTCAGAAGATTGGTGATAGATTTTTAGCAAGCTGGTTAGATAGAATACGTTATGTATATTCTGAATATGTTGAATATGAATTACAACCACGTATACCATCATATACGGTAGTAGATTTTAAAATATTAGCTAAATCACCAAATTTATTAGATGTGCTAAAAGAAGTAAGATATAATATCTAAAATATTATTACTGTACCACTTTATATTGTTTCTTAAATTAATATTTATAAATATTTAATAAAATTTACAGATTCTGTAAAGTTTAAAGATAGTGAATATAAAGTATATGGATCAACTCAAAATACAGCAACAAATGAGTATATATTAGTATTTGATGAATTTGGTCCCAAAAGACATATGCACTATGGAAATTGTGCAAATTGCAACCGACATAACACATTTTACGCTTGGTGCCAAACGTGTGACCCTTGGAAGGAAATAATGATATCGATGATTGTATTAAAGAATTTCAACTTAAAGCCACAGAATATGAGAATGTAATCAAATGGATTCCTTTTAATAGATTAGATAATATTCAAAAGATTGGTGACAGATTTTTAGCAACTCGGTTAAATGGAATACGTTATGTAAATTTTTTTGTTAAGCGTAAATATAGATTTGAAAATACGCAGTCGCGCATGCCATTTTATAAAGTGGAACTTAAAATATTAAATAGTTTAAAAGAAGAATACATTATTTGTTATATGCAGATTATTTAATTATAAAGTCTATACTTAACTTCTATTATACGTATATTATATATTACGTAAGTTTAAAAATCATTTGCAATTAGAGAGTCATACCATTTATGGATTAACTCAAAACACAACCACAAATGAATATATGTTAGTATTTGGTGAGCTTGGTTCTATCAGACATAGGTATTATGGAAAATGCACAAATTGCGGCCGATACAACACATCAGAAGCGTGGTGTAGAACATGTGATCCTCATAAGACAGTACAAGGATGGACAAGTGGAAATAAAGAAATCGATGGTTGTATTAAGGGACTTCAACTTAAAGCTACAGAATATGATAATGTAATTGAGTGGGTTCCTTTCAACAGATTAGATGATATTCAAAATATTGATGGTAGATTTTTTGCAACGTGGATAGATGGGATACGATATGTAAAGGGTGAGTATGAAAAAAGAATACAATCACGTATACCATCATATAAAATAGGGCTTAAAACATTAGCTAGTTCATATAATTTAACAGAAATGTTAAAAGAAGTAGGTTAAAATATTTTAAATTATTATTGTACTGCGATTACATATATATTACTTTACTTTAATTCTTATTTATATATTATAAATGCTTCATAAGTTTATAGATTATATATTGTTAAAGAACGATGAACTTAAGGTATATGGACTAACTCAAAACACTGCAAAAAATGAATATATGTTGGTATTTGATGAATTTGGTTCTAAAAAAAATATGAATAATGGAAAATGTGTAAACTGCAACCGATATAACACATCTCCTGCGTGGTGTCAGACATGTGATCCTCGGAAAACTATACGAGGATGGACAAGTGGGAATAAGAATATAGACGATTGTATTAAAAAACTTCAACTTGAAGCAACAAAATATGAAGATGTGATCGAGTGGATTCCTTTTAATAGAATAGTTAATATTCAAAAAACCGATTTTGGATTTTCAGCAACCTGGTTAGATGGTAAACGAATCACTTCATATAGCATACAATCACGTACACAACCATATAAAGTAGAGCTTAAAATATTAACAAAATCGCAAAATTCCGAAGATATGATAAAAGAAGTAGGTTAAAATATTTAAATGATTATTGTACTGAACCGTTATATATTGCATTAGTTTTAATTCATATTCATTAAATATTAATAAGTTCATAGATTTTTTGCAGTTAATAAATAAACTTAAAGTATACGGACTAACACAAAACACTGCAACCAATGAGTATATGTTAGTATTTGATGAATTTGGTTCTAAAAGAGATAAAGGCAATGGAAAATGTGCAAATTGCAACCGATATAACACATCAAAAGCTTGGTGTCGAACATGTGACCCTCAGAAAGCAGCACAAGGATGGACAAGTGGAAATAAGGAATTCGATGATTCTATTAAAGAATTTCAACTTAAAGCCACAGAATATGAGAATGTAATCGAATGGATTCCTTTTAATAGATTAGATAACGTTCAAAGGATTGGTGAAGGAGGATTTGGAACTGTGCTTTCAGCAACGTGGTTAGATGGTAAAAGGATAGTCTCAAGAGGTTATAAAGAATTTATACAATCACGTACAACATCATGTATAGTTGCACTTAAGACATTGCCAGGTTCACAAAGGAATTTTTTAAGAGAAGTAAGTTAAAATGGAATATTTATGACCTAATATATATCAATTTTTAACATTATAAAATTTTATTTAATTAACTAGTTTAAAAGTTATGCAGAAGTTATATTAGTGGGTAGTAATTTTGAGGTGTATGGACTAACTCGAAATACGACTACTAATGAATATTTGATGGTGTTTCAATTTGCAAATAAAGGAAGTCTTCATAAATTCTTATTATCAAATTTTAGAGATCTTAATTGGAATAATAAATTAAAGCAACTTGCTGATATATCTGAAAATTTAAAAAAAGTTCACGAAGCAGGATATGTTCATGGAGATTTTCATAGCGATTATATATTGCAAGATCAATATATTTAATTTCTTATGTTGCAGATCTTGATTATCTAGAAAGAAAGATGAATCTGATTTGGGAGATAGTATTTACGTAGTTTTACCTTATGTTGCTCCTGAAGTGTTAAATAAACGACCATATACAATAGAAGCAGATATTTATAGTTTTGGCATTATTATGGCAGAAATTTCTTCAGGAAGACCACCTCATTATGACGCTGAGTATGATGAAAGATTGGCAATCCAAATATGCAATGGATTACGCCCTGAACTTGCTAGAGGCACCCCTGGATGCTATTCTAAATTAGCAAACCAATGTATGGATGCTAATCCTTTAAATAGACCAACTATTTCTTATATCTGCGATGAATTATCAAGATGGTATACTGTAGTAAATGATATAGCAGCAAAAGATAAAAATGAATTAGTAATATTAAAAGCGTTCCAATCAGCAGATGCAATTATTCCAACGTTATCAACCGAATTTACAAATTTTCCTAAAGATAAGCTTACAAGTAAACTGCTTAACTTCAAAAACCTTTCTAATCCAATGAATTCATCTGAAAAATTGTTAAAAGTTTGTGGTAATTAAATAAACATATTATATTTTTCGTATATCCGATTTTTAAACCGATAAAAGCTTTAATGACGGTTTAATTTATAGATTCTGGCATTATTGATTTTTCTATTAACGATAACATTATTCAACGTATGTATCTAATAATTTAATCTTTTAATGATAAGAATATTTTATTAAATATTTAAATACTTTGTTTTTATAGCCGATAAGGAATAAAATAAAAGAAGTTATTTACATTATATTTAATATATTTATTGAAAAATACATTTTGATATGAAACAATAAAGCTTGGTTATTTAGGTCATTGAATTAGTATTAAGGTTGTAAAAGCTATCCGAGTACAATTTTTATTTTAATCTGTCTCAAATTTTAATATGCGTACGACATATACAAGTTTAAATAGATATATAGTATTTTAATTAATAAAACCTTTCAATCGTATAAGATAAATAAGATAACTTGTCAACGTAATATGTGTTAATTAATTTAAATGGGGTCAGTTTTATAAGTAGATTAGTTCTATTTTACATAATTGATAAGAAAAATTAATTTGTTTGAGGATAAAAGAGAAAAATAATTTCATTTTTAAATCCACTTATTCTTTATATTATAACCAAAATTTTCAGAGAATATAAAAAAAAAAATTGATTTTACTATTACGTTATACCTGATGTTAATTGCGGTTGCAGTATTTAATGAAAAAAATTTTAAAAAATTTTTAATAGATAATCAACCCGGACTCTAAATATAATGTACAAGTATTGAAAAAGTTATTTAAAAATTTTTGAACAGATAAACTTAATGATTTAAAGATAATATTAAAGCAATTTAATGAGCTTGAAAGTTTTATTTTGAATATAAAAATGATATGAAACTTTAATGAACTTTATTTTGCTTTTTATAACGTAAAGTATAAAATTAGTTGAGTTTTTAACGAACGTGAACTATAATAAGTTTGATATTTACATTAAAAGTCGAACTAAATTATTCTTTAATTGGAATAATTGCAAATTTTAATTATTAAAAAATTGCGAAACTATCCTACGTACTTTATATTCTAAAAACTTTGATAGTCTTAACATATGGGGGATGATGCTCATTAGTTGTGATATCTAAATGTGATAAATGTGATAAATAGATTCCAGATTTGGATATACTATACATATATATGTATAAATAATAATACATACGTACATATGTACGTCACAACCTATATGTAATCAATGGCTACCAAACCTTTTCAATGTCTTTTATGTAACAAGTCATATACGAATAAAACTTCCTTAGTTACTCATGAACGAAAATTTCATAATCAAAACATTATTGTTCCACATTATCATATTCTTTTCACTCCTCTTTATTCTTCTTATTGCCACTTTCGTGGTTTGTTTATTGATACTATACAATCCCAGCTTGGATCACATCGTGCAACTGAAGGCAAAAAGAAAGTTCAAGTGCATTGTGAAGAAAATTTGTTTTATTTTATTTTCTGAGAACAAGAGGCTTTTACCTTTCAAGTATCTAGTTACAAATATAATTGTATATTTAAAGGTCAAGTTGGAGTAAAACGAATTGGTGAACTATTTCAATGTTCTAACTGGTGGATAAAAGCAAATAATTTGGGTGGAGAAACTATAGTCGATTATCAGCAACAAGATCCGATTACCAAAAATTTTATTGACAAAGAAATAAGCTTTAGTTGGAAACAAAAATCACGAAAAATTTTTCAGGATAGATATGAGTTTATTTATTTTTATGGAGTTATGACATGTAGTTTTTCTACATATTGCCAAACAATTTGTATTGAAAATTAAAATAGTAAGTATTACTGTACTTTAATATTAGTTAATATTAAATTAATAATTA